CTATAATACTCCTCGAGAAACCGTTAGTGGCTGCTATTTCCTGTATTGTACGTTTTTCTTTTGTGAACCTCTTATGTGTGAGAGGAAAAGTCAAAAGGCGCACTTAAAAATTCAGCCCAGCAAGTTTGTGCTGTCCACAGTGATGTGAACTATCAGGAATATATCTATATGTGCTTGTTTCCTTTCTCAATATATCGTATTCTAGCCCTCCATATTGGCTTCTCATTACCAAAACGTCAAGAAATGGAAGTTGTCCTTTATTTTCTAATTCATATGAGAATTTTATTGATGGAAATCTGTTATTTAAAAAGGAAACAAAGTCCTCAATATTCCATTTGTTGTTATCGAATATTGCGAAAACATCATCCACATACCATAGTCATATCTTAGGAAAATACTTTGACTTTTCTTTGGTTTCCATTTCGAATCTGCTCATGAACAGGTTTGCCAGGTAGGGGGACAAGGGGTTACCCATAGCCGTTCCCTCCTGTTGTTCATTAAAGCAACCTTCTACCTGGAAACGGTTTTGTTTCATATACAAATTAGTGAGAGAAAAGAATAGTTTCGTTATTATTGAAATCATTTTTCTCTAGTAATTCCCTGAGGTATTGTAGGGTCTGCGGAATTGGGATGCTAGGAAATAAGGAACTAACATCAAATGAAACCAAAATCTCACCTTCTTGCAGAACGATGTTTTTGTATGTTGTAATAACTCTAAGGAGTTTTTGATACTAAAACGTGGTTTCACAATAGGCAAGCCTTCAAATTCCTTAGCGAGCCATTGTGCTATTTGGTAAGTAGGAGATCCAATAGATGACACGATGGAGCGCATTGATTTTCCCGGTTTGTTGATTTTTGGGAGGATATATATTTTTGACTCCGCTGGGTTGGAAACTTGCAAGTTCCGTTTCAGTTGAGGGATAAGTAGGTTGTCGCATTTTTTGAGGACGTCTTTTACTTCGGCAATTATGATTGCTGATGTCCTCAAGTATTTATTTGTTCTCATTTAGTTTACATTGTCGCCAGTAGCTCCGGTAGGTATAGTATAAATCTCGTGAGTGAACATTGTTTTAACATTTTGTTATAGTCTGAAAGAAAATTATCCAATAAAAAAAATCATTTTATTTCAATTTATTCAATAACATTTTCTGGTTTGAATCGTTGAATATTTTTTATGCCATTTCTCAGCTTTTAGATAAGTATATTCATCTAACATGAAAGATACTTCAATCTATCCTTCCATTATGTTGTGAATGCTGTCCAGAAGATCATGATATGAACTGAGGGCCTTGTGTTTTTGGTTCAAACGCTACCATCTTCTATGTACCAAACCTAATAAAAACTGCAATGATTATGTGTAAAACAATAGGTGATTTGAAAGGAAATGTATCCGTTAATTTCTCCTTCAATAAATAATTACCAACAAATCAAATATTTTTTTGTCAAAATAACAACATTCTCAACTCAAATACCAACCCAATATATTGAAAATTAAGTATGTATATACCGGAGTAACTTAGTTGTACGATTGATGCACTGTTTGGAACCTTTGGTGTAGTAATGAATATTACTGGAGTTTTTTCCCAACACCAAATCTGCCGTATTCATAATAGTTTGAGTCAAAGCATGCTGCTGACTACCAAACAGCACTGCCTTGATACGTATTTTATAGTGGCTGCAAAAAAGTCAAAAATGAGGCGAGCAAGAGGTATTGTGGAAAACTATAAGATCCGCGAGTTGAGGATAATCCACCAACTGAGACATATATGAACAGCAGCAGCCACTTCAAGACTAGACAACTTCGACAGCTCGAGCTTTATGAACTACTTACCCAATATCCATTAATGACGTTCGAAGAGACCTTGCGGGTTCGTAGTACTTTGCTGCTCCTGGCCCCAATAGGCGGAACACATTATTGGAAAAAACTACTGACCACCCACCGTCATCTGGCCAGTCTTCAACTCATGGCTGAGTGGAGAGCAGGCAATTCTGGATTGGTTTGTCAAGGGGCGGACTATTCTTCCCAAAAACGAAGATATGTCTCTTCCTAAGAATTACAGACCGGTAACATGCGTGAATTCGTGTTGTAAACTGTTTACGAGCATCTTGGTTACTCTTCGCAGTTGACCGAGCATTCGAACGAGTATGTGAGTAAAGAGGGTCAAGATAGGAGTCGCTGGATGTAACTTGCTCATCGATAGACGTGTAACACGATAGACGTGTAACCTCTGTGTGGTCTGGATTGATTACCGCATTTGATACAACATTGCATGTGCTCATCTTGCATATGCTCAGATGCCTTGCGGATTCGTCTCACCATAACATTTTGTCAAGCTAGAGTCTGAATGGAGCAGGTCACTTTGAGAAAAGGTGTATTTCAGGGCAGTTCCCTAATCCCCATTCTGTCGGAAAAGAATGAACCGGTTAGTACAGCTTCTCCCGAGTAGACTCAGAACTGAAATATAATGCATCTCCATACAAGTTTGAATCTCTATACAAGGTTGGCATCCCAAATTATCTGTTACACGGTTATACTTCCTCATACAACAAGGATTCACACGATTCTCGGACCCAATGATCACTCATTGAGAAGATGTTATTGGTAATGATGCTATCATACCCTCGAATGAATCAGAGCTTCGGGTCCAAGGCCTGGACCCAAAGCTCTAATAATAATGTTCATTTATAATTCAAATATACAAAATAACGAAATTTTAACATTAATTAACTATACAGACTCCCGAAGTAGAATAATAATGAGAATTACAATTGATTTTTTCAAATTATCTCATTTCAGATCAAGATCTGTATCGCGTATGTACCTCATTGTGCTAGACATTATTGAGTAATTGTTGAGGATTGGGCATAAATAAGGAGATTTTATAATCCACTTTTTGGCTTCTTTTTATATTTGATGAAAAATGTAACTTTTTTTCATCAGTCGCGAAACATAATAATAGTTGTGGCATGGTATACGTTTTCAACTTTATTCGTGAATTTTTGGGTTTTTTTTCTAGGGCAAGAGTAGACTCCAATCTTTGACAACAACCTTCCTCAACATAGATAAACAAAATTTTCCAAAATTCCCAATAATCTGATTTTGATAGCAGATAAATCATCAATATTGAAATATCTATTCTAAGACACGTCCACTTCTCCCACAGAAGTATCCATTCCCTTTTTACATTTACACTCGATAATATGATCGAGTATTCGTTTGAGAAGTTTTGTATCGGAATATAGGGAAAACCCTGCTACTCTTCAAGACCGCAACCTCTGCGAGACCATAGAGTAAGCGTGCTTATCCCACAATGCATAGGCAAAGTGGTACCTTCCAGAAAGTCAATATTTCAAAATTTGAGTTTGAGTTTAACTTTAAGGGGGTAGGCCAATAACGTCGACAACGGAAGGCAAAGAACGACTTTAACCTTACCTATGGTGCTGTGCAGAAAAAGTCCTAGTACTTAACGTCGAAATCGGGACCAAACTGCAAATCATTCGTTTCAATGTGGTGAATGTTTCAGGTTTGGACATTCATTGTCTGAAAAAGTGTAAACAAATTTAAAATCTTTAAGAAAGTAAATAGTGAAATGTTGAACAACCAGTACCGAAATATATTCGTATAAGTTATTTAAAAAAAGGGAATTATATTAAAAATAAGAATGAAATCAAAAATAAGTTAAAATATAGGTAAAAGTGAAATTTGAAACTAATTTAAAACAAAGACGAACTATTGTGGGCTGAAATAAAAATTAATTAGGATCTTTCAAAACTGGCAAAATGTAATTTTTCATTTACGATGAACTGAAAGAGTATATTAGGTACATGAAAAATAATGAAAAACGTATGACTACGCTTAAAATAAACTCGTTTAATTGATTTGACATCCTCTAATAACAATATTTTTAACAAAGATGAACAAGGCTCTCCAAGGCGGCCATTTGCGAAGCCAAGCTTCGACATCGACCGCCAAACGAGATTCGACCTCTGTCTTTCACTGCCAGGCAACTGAATGGTCTTGCTTGGCTTCGCAACTTACCAGTCTCGTTTATATTCAAGGATTGAGTCTTCTGTCGATCCCATAAATGGAGACTTTCCTAGGGGGAGATAACAATACCTTTACTTTCAGGTTTGTATTTTTTGTGATAGTTGAGTGGTACGGTCTAGCATCACTAATGATACCTTGGTGGTCCGCTGTTCGATGTTGGATCACGAGTTCAAATGGAGCCTACAACGGGTTGGGCTGCTATACAAAGCAAGTATACCGTAGATCCATCTGTTGATTTAGCAGTAACGTAACTGGTGGATAAAATACCTTCAATCAATAAGTGATGATAATTGGAAAAATGCGT